TTCAGCAGGGAGAGCAAGACTCAACCCCTTTTTGTAAAGCACTTTAAGATCCAGGGACAAAACACATCATATGAGCACCAACATGCAGACAGTGACAAGTGATTTGTCCCCCAGGAACAAATAGTTGACTGCTTATCAGTACAACATCAGGCCAGAGACAGAGAAACCTCAGGTTCTCCTATACCCAGAGCGGATCATAAAAGAAACAGCAACATAACCAAGGGGAATAAAGAAAGAACTGGAGAAACTCAGAGATGATGCAGGGTGACAGTGACTTCTCAGCGCCTCAGCCATCTGTCAGCTTTGTTACTGCTGACCCTCAGTGATCTGGGACAGCCAGACAGTTACGGTCAGCAAGAACCAGCCCTGTACTGCAATTGGCCCAGGCACACCTTTCTGCCAACCAGCCTAAAGATAGGCAGTCCAAGCACTAAGGAGCTCAAACACCTTTAGCCAGCCCAATCCCTCAGCAATAAGTGGTTTCCCAGACTCCAGCTGCATCCCTGAAGTTTTCCAGCTGCCCTTCTGCCTTCAAATACAGCCTGTGACTTGTCCCTCACGCATTCAGCTTCCCCAAAGACTTATTTGCTATCCAAGTGAATATGTTTAGAGCACAAGATCATGGGCTGTGCGTGCAGAGCCCAGTCAGGTTGCATCATTTCCAAATCCTCTGCCTGCCGCTTCTCCCAATTCATGTCTTAGTACCTTAAAATATTTGGACTGCCAGTGATTGCATCAGCATTCGTTGACCACCCTTAGCTCCCTCTTGAACTCACAGTCTGCCAGGGAGCCACATATCAAGCAAATATGATTCCTTGCAACCTGAGAGAGTTGCAGACATCCAAGACTGCACAGCTTATGGGGCTCGTGGGACCTGCCCGGGATCCCACTTCTCCAGCTCTTCTCATCAATACACTCTTCCTCTTCAATACCTTCAATTATGCTTGTTGAAACAGTACTGCTCCTTCATGCTGGGGACCCTGCGTAAAACAAACCACCAGCTTTTTATATGGGAGCCTGTTTGACACTAGAGACACAGTGAATTAGGGATGCCTGTCATCAGCCCACACGCTGTGTGGCTTCGCTCTGCCCACGCTCCAGACAGTGCCCTGACCGCAGGGCTCAGCCCAAAGCCTGCGCTGGACTGAAATTAGGAGATGAATCACAGTGCCTTCTTGGCCACTCTGTCCCTTCCACATCTTCTCCTCTTCAGAAAGCCATGCTCCTGCGTGACAACCTCTGCTGCTCTTCTCCAGCCCCCTCCTGCTTGCAACATCTCTCCAATGCAGGGCCATAGGATTCACAGCAGCCATCAACCACAGGTGGTTACAAAACAGACCCGTAGGTGACTTCTGGTGGCAGAGGGAAGCATCCATACTCTGTACCCAAGCAAGCCCAACTCTCCATCATCTCCAGCCTGTAACACTTGTCCTAAATTGTTTCAGGTAACTCCTGCAGCTGAATCTGCAACTCAAAAGCAAGACACCCCCAAAGCAAGCACAACCAGCATCCAGCACTTGAGATCCCTAAAGCTTCTCCTTTGCTTTAGCGACTCTGTCAGCAGACACTGGCTCTAATCACAGCTTTTCTGCATTTGTAACAGGGAAAAGCAGTGCAAGAAACCCAGAGAGAAAAAAGAGTGCAAAGCCACAGCCAGCCATGAGAGCAGCTGCAGCTTTTTAAACTGATGTGTTACACACGGAGCACAGCAACTCGAACTGAGGAGGTTTGACAAACAACACACGTAAACCAGCACCGAGCCGACGTTACAACGGCTTCACACTCACCCGAGCTGCTCCTCTGCCTCGTCAGCACTCAGCGCTTCTGAGGACCCCAGGATGCTGTGCCACCGTTCCCTGCTGAGGGGCTCGCCACGTATCTCTTGGGTGGGGGAGTCCCTCTCCCCCAAATCCACGCTG